GCAGTGTTTTGCACACACATTGCAGCTGGTGGTGGGAGACGGTTTGAAAGAAACAAAAGCGGCATGTCCTTCTCTCTCCAAGTTATCAAAACTTAGCTCCCTGCTCCACACAAGCACAACGTTTAAAGACATATTCGATGGTGAATTTGGGGAGCACAGAGGCATCCCTGCTGCAGTGAGCACGAGGTGGAATTCTACACTGCGGCAGGTGAAAGCAGTCCTTCATTGTGATCAGCAAAAGCTCTGCGCAGTTCTTGAGAAGGCCGGGCATAAAGAACTGTCATTCACACTACGAGAGTGGAATCTGCTGAAGGAGTTGGTGGACATCTTGAAACCGTTCGGAGAAGCAACTGATTTGACACAGGGGGAGAAAGTCATTACAATCAGTGCAGTTGTTCCATCCGTCTTGTCCCTCAATCACCATCTTGAGAAGCTGAAGCCTCAAGTTCGTTTCCTGAGCGGCCTGGTCAGAGGTCTGCAGGCATCCCTGGAAAAAAGATTTCTTGGGATCTTCATTAATGTGAAAATGGCCCAGTCTCAAGAAGGGATCACTGCCCCCTTTTCAGACACAGTCTACCTGAAAGCAGCTGCCTTGGATCCAGCCTTTTGTCTGCTGTGGATTGAGCCCCATGTGCTGGTCAACCGTGACATCAAGGCAGAGGTGGCACAACGAGTTAAAGGTAAATCTTATTGACTTGCAATGCAACTTAAATGCAACGTAAAATAATTTGATCTTAATCTGATCTAGGATCTAATGTGATATTAATCTGACTTTAACAATAATAACAATTTTCAGTCTTGCACAGTATCATCAACATCAGTAATGGTAATAAGAGCTCTTTTGTTTCTGCTGTTGTGACACGTTTTTTTAGAATTGATCCTGAAAGATGCTGCAGAGACGGAGCAACCTGTGCCTGTGCCGGTGCCTGCTGAAGAAGAACTAGAGGACATGGAAGGAGAAGGGCTGTTTGCTGCATACCATAAGAGGCAGAAAAGGGATGTTGGGACCCCACCAGCAGTACAGCTAAGTCACTACATTGACATGGCAGAAGGACAGAATGCCCTTTTGTTCTGGGCACTGAACAGTAAGACTTTTCCTTCACTCTTTCAAGTAGCCATCCGAGTCTTGGCAGTGCCTGCTTCTAGTGCTCCAGTGGAGCGAGTTTTCAGCCATGGTGGCATCATTCTGCGTCCCCATCGTGCACAAATGACTGACAGACTTTTGGCCAATTTGATCTTTTGCAAATGCAATGCAGTGTAGGGGCCTCCCTCCACCTGTCCACAGCACGCATGCGCACACACACTCACTCTCTGCTCATCACCTGTCCACACAGCTCTCTCTCTCTCATACACACCAGTCTCTATGGAGGCATTCCAATTATATTATCAGGTTGGTCCAGTTTTTCAGAAGTGATAATTTTGAGGAGTGAGGATTTTATTGATGACATGTTTAAAAAAGTTTATGCTAAAAGAACCCATGTCTATTTGAAAGTTAAACTGTTTTGCAATATGAGGTCAATGCAATACAGGACTGAAGCTGCTGTGCATTGTTCTAGTGCAATCTGCTGTTGAAATAAGAGCATTTTTTGTGAAAATTAAATTTTCTGTTTTTTACTGTGTTTGATTAATGTCATTGTATAAAAAGAGGTTTAAATAAATACAAATCTTACAGACATACATGATTTGTATAAATTTTATTTCTGTGGTAAGAGGACTTGAAATGACTCAACTAAAATGGTAGGACTTCCGGAATCGACTTGAGACTTGCAGGCTTTGACTTCTGACTCGACTTGGGACTTGCCTCATCTTTGACTCGACTTGACTTGGGACTCGAGAGCAAAGACTTGAGACTTACTTGTGACTTGCATAACAATGACTTTGTCCCACCTCTGGACTGTACAGTAGTGTATAGTGTAGTGTACTAGTACATCTCATCGGTGTGTTGGAGAGCCAAGCCACAACATTTACAATCTAAGTACAACGTTTTGACAGTAATCCCAACCAGCTTCATCAGACGACAGCCAAATGTTGTGGCTTGGCTCTGTGGGAATAGAAATCGGCTCGCTGGGTTCATAGCGCAGCACGCTAATCGTTGCACTACCGCTCCCCACTCACTCACAAACTTAATCGGAAGTATAGTATTTATCCAGCAATAACTAAGTTACCCGGCTTAGCTCAGGTCTCAGTAATCAAACATTAAGAGTAATGTCTTTGCTTTTTTATGTAATTAAGGTCTATCGTACCATATCGAGGCTTGGGGCTTTGGGTTGTTCTTTGTTTTTTATGTCTCTGCCTCTGCTCACATTCATTGACGATTTTTATGATTTTGGGCAAGCCCGTCTAAAGCTGCGTGACCAGGAATTGGAGCCATTTGCTGTTCAATTTGGCTTGTGACAGAAATTCACTCTGCCCCCATGCATTACATTACATAGCATCTTCATTAATTATGTAGTTGAGAAGCTCACAATAGCCATATAAATAAATTGCATTCGTTACAGTTAAAATGATACGCGCATCGATGGCTGGTTATAGTTAAGGGATCGTTCCCTGGTCAACCATGTTATATCTGCTGATGATCTGGAAATGGCTACTCAAGGAGATGGGGTTAGATAATCTCGTTCTGTGCCTGGATAATTCCATCATGAAAGGTGGCCTTGCGTATGTTCCACCAAAATAAATCACCTGCTGGGGAATTTCATGTCATACAACACTGTACCTGCTCAACTCTCCATGAGTAATCAGGCAGTTCTGCAAGTAATGGAGGAGCTCCCATACCTGGTTAATGTGTTCACGACCAGCTCTGGTTTGGCAGCCAAAGTCTCACTTTAAATTTGTCGAGCAGCATTCTTTCATTAGACTGTGTAACACTGTGTGGAAGCTGCCTGGACTTTTGCTCCATACAAAGCTGTGAGTGTCCATCACCAAGGTCTAGTCTGTCTGAGACCATCCCTCTCCCTGCCATACTGGCATCGCACCCGCCTCTCACTCTTCGTACTGTGGATGGCGGGCGCACAGGACGGTGCCACGCAGCCATTCCAGGCTGGGTCCAAATGGGTTACGTGGGTCACCGAGCCACCAGGCATCGTTCCATGAGTGATATCAATATATAATATCTGTAAGGATGCCCCCACTGTCCCTGGAACTCTACCAGGCACGTCCCACTGGGGGACGTCCCAGGAGCCTGGCCCCGGACATTCTGGTGGGAATATGTCACTTGGCTGGATTTGGGAACGCCTGGGAATTCCCCAGGAAGAGCTAGAGTCTGTCGCCAGGGAAAGGGAGGTCTGGACTGCCCTACTGAATGTGCTGCCACCACAAACCTCACCAAGACAAGAGGATTTAGAAATAAATGAACGAATAAAGCTGTGAGTCTTCTTGGCCACAGACATTACTCCTTTCTCTGTGGATGCAAAATATGAACTTATTTTAAGGACTGTCTGTGCTGGCTTTTAATTAAGGCTGGCATATGATCCCCTCTATTGAACCAAACAAGATTGTATTAAAACTTTATAGATTCCTAAAATATCAGTACAGAATATAATCTGAGACTTTGGCAGGGGAGGCTGCATTGGTTGGGTCATGAATTCCGCATAAACAGACAGCATGCACAATCATCTTTTGTTAGTCCAGATGTTACGGGCTAAACGGGCATGGCATTGGCTAGAGAAGAGATTGGAGGATGTGGAGTTGATCAGACCTGCTGTCAAGATCGGCCTCTCGAAGAGGCCCGTGACATACGCTGCAGGGCAGTTGGAGGTATTTGCTCTGCAACAACAATGAGGTTAGAGTAGCAACAATCACATGAATGGATGGAACGCTGGGTGCCTCAAATGCAGCAAGACAGCAGGAAGCACAGCTGGTGCGTCTGTTAATCATCTCAGTCAGTCATCCCTTGACACCTGGATCATTCCCATGACATGCTGACAAGTGATCCACACTTACATGGCATTCATGTGAAATATATGTGTATGTAAGAGTTTATGTGGGGAGCGGTGGCGCAGTTTTTCCACTGTATAACAAAAAACATTTGATCCTAGGTAGTATGTGTTATTTCCTAATTGCTTTTGCCTCTAAAGTACAAAAAATGGAAATTATTCCCCACAAACTTTGCTTTTGTGACCAGGACAGTGATATTTAGAAATGTATCTCTTTTCAATGAGAAAATAGGTGAATTAGTTTTTTTAGTTCTTGTATAATTCTGGTCACAAAAGCAATGTTTGTGGGGAATAAGCCATTTTCTAGACATTTTGGCATAAGCAATAAAAAAATAACAATTAGTACCCAGGAACAAAAATTGTGTTACATAGTGTTATCACAATTAAAGTTTGATTATCGCCGACAGCAAACGTGATTGATTGGTGAAAACTTCACTTATTGTGGGGAAGCATTATTACGGAGCATATGAAGGTGGCCAGGCATGGTTCTGAACACACCACCTTTTTACCATGCCATTGTGTGTTACAGTGTCAAGTTTGTATTTGCTGTAAAGTATATTAACTCGATTGAACACAGAGGTTAAATCAAAACAATAGTTTATTTTAGTTTTCCTTTGGAACTTTTTACGAGAATGGAAACAGGAAATTAACACAGCACATATGCAGCTGAAATTAGATCTGTTCATCCCAGCATTCAAGGAAATCGGAGCCTGGCTTCACACCTTTACGTTGTGATTGAACATTAATTTATGCATTTCTGCATAATACAAATAGTATTATTTTCAACACCCTTTATGACGTTAGCTGCATTTTGCTTTCATAAATATTCCTTTTGTAGCCAGACAACTGAAATTGTGTGCTTGGAGTTTTAGGTTAACAGTCATTTTTAAGATACTAGGGCTTCCAGGCTGTCATTTGCCCTCATTGTGTGCCCATGTGATGAATTTGGGAATCTTTTTCACTCTTATCATGAATATATGAATGAGTATAGACGTGCAAGTCATGTGTGACTGTGTATATATGCATTCTTTTGTGCCTCTATACTGACATAGATGGTCTGGATATTATTTTTTTCTGTCTGCAGCTGATGCTTCTTCTGGCACTTCCTCTGCAGAATTGGTCTGATGGAGCAAAGGCACTCAGCACAGCTCGGTGCAAAAAGGCAACAATGCAACCAGTGTGCATACAGCACGGATCATGTTCAACATCTGATACAGCACCAGAGAACTCACGCAGGAGAGAAACCCTTCAAGTGCAGTCTGTTGCGGAAGGCGTTTTCACAGTCATCTGCTCTTGTATTATATCAGATAACTCACACGGGAGAGAAACCCTTCAGTTGCACTTTGTGTGGGAAGGCGATTGCACAATCATCACATCTTCAAGCACACCAGAGAACACACACGGGAGAGAAACCCTTCAGTTGCACTCTGTGTGGGAAGGCGTTTGCACAATCACCATATCTTAAATTACACCAGAGAACACCCACGGGAGAGAAACCCTTCAAGTGCACTGTGTGTGGGAAGGCGTTTGCACATTCACAACATCTTCAATTACACCAGAGAACACACACGGGAGAGAAACCCTTCAAGTGCACTGTGTGTGACAAGGCATTTTCATATCCATCAGTTCTAAGGAACCACCAGAGAACACACACAGGAGAAAAACCCTTCAAGTGCAGTGTGTGTGGGAAGGCATTTTCACATTCATCTGCTCTTAAAAAACACCGGAGAACACACACAGGAGATAAACCCTTCAAGTGCAGTCTGTGCGGTGTTGTATGTGTTGGTATGGTGAAATTTTGATAAAAAGAATAAATATTAATATTTTTTCCAAAAATGCGCAAATCGCATCAATTATGTTAATGCGTGTAATTATATGCATAAATTATGATAATCACGGAGATAATCATAGTAATTTATGCGGAGGCTTGCGATTATGTTAATGTGTGCAGTTATGATAATTTGCTTAGTTTCGTTTATCCAGAGTTATCAATCAGGATAACACGATTATCATGGATTCATTTACCGATTATCCTAGTGTGTGTTATAATATTTTAGGTCTCCATTTTCATATCTCATCGCAGGTAACAGCTCTTATGAATAAGACAGTTTTGCATGGACTTGGAAGGAACACTCGATATGCTTCTGTGATAACAATTTTATTCTAACAAGCACGTGACATTCTATCATGTAGGTCAAACATGCGTCAATAAATTCATGAGCAAGATTATGCCATCACAATCGGCGACTGGCCGAGTTTGAAAACAAGCATGACACACTTCATTTTGCGGTAATAAAAAGCACTTATTATACCCAAGAGGCGAAAGTATATGTCAATAGATTCATCGGCAAGTGTAAAATCCTTTTAACGGAATCTTTGAGTCAATGGTGGGTGAGGCGTGTGTGGGGGAGAGCGAATTTGGCTCTGTTTTAATTAATTCTTCGGCGAGACTCTATAACAAAGGAAACTGGTTTGACAAGATTTTCTCTGTTCTTCCTTGAGTCTGTATGTGGGGAGCGATACGACCTCTGTCCGTGCGGGTTGCAGCCGAGACTTTCTCCGCGGTGAGGTGAGCGGCGGCGCTCGGCGGCGCTCGGTGGCGATCGTTGTCGCTCGTTGTCGCTCGGTGTCGCTTGACGGCGCTCGGTGGCGCTCGACGGTGCTCGGCGGCGCTCGGCGGCGATCGTTGTCGCTCGTTGTCGCTCGGTGTCGCTCGACGGCGCTCGGTGGCGCTCGGCGGCGCTCGGCGGCGCTCGGCGGCGCTCGGCGGCGCTCGGCGGCGCTCGGCGGCGATCGTTGTCGCTCGTTGTCACTCGGTGTCGCTCGACGGCGCTCGGTGGCGCTCGACGGCGCTCGGTGGCGCTCGGCGGCGCTCGGTGGCGCTCGTTCGGAAGACTTTGACTCTCTGCTTTGCTCGCTTGGCGATCTCCGCCTTTCCTGCGGGTTGTTCGCTGGTCGTCACTCTGACGAGGAGCGATGCTTCGTTCGTGGCAGGGTGGACGTTGGCGTCTTTGTTGGCTTCACTCGCAGCTCGGCGACACAGGGTAGCGATTCTTCTCAGGTGGTGCAGACCTCGGCTTGTAGCTGCGCGTCGCTACTCCGCGAACCTCGTCATTCTGGATGACGAAAACTTCTTCGTTGTCGGCGTTGATATGAGATGGGGCCCATGGCCCGGACGATCTCTGGTGGGGCCCGTGGCCCGGACGATCTGTGGTGGAGTCGAAGCCCTGGCGACGAGATGGGGCTCAGAGTCCTGGCGATCTGCTTTGAATGGATTTTCCTTCGGTTTATATCTGGACATTCCACTCAGTTTCCCGAGTTGTTCAAAGTCTGTCATAAAACATTCCTGTGGGTGTGAACCATCTGCGTTCGTGTGTGTGTGTGTGCGTGTCCGTCCGTGTGTTTCGCGTGCGTGTTTGTCCGTGTGTTTATTAGCTTTGAAGACACAGCTGTGTGTCGTTCTGGAAGAAAGGGGTGGGGGGGGGGGCCTTGTGACGGCGCCACCTAAGTTTATCCATTAACCAGACCGATGATTCGCGTTCGCATTGAGTTATATATAAAAAAAAGTATTCGAATCCATGTTTTTGTTACTGAATAATATTTCTCGCGAAAACCTATGTGTTAAGCGAGCTTAATTATTCCCTCCCTTGCTCGGGGATCATATCTTTTGTCTCACACAGCTTAAGTTGTTTTTGGTTTGGAAGTTGAAATGCGACTTATTTCCATTATGCCCAGTTATGCCGAAACCGTGTTCACGATGTTTCATCGTGACCCGATCTCCCATGGAAATGTTATTTCCTCGCGTGTGCAATTTTTGCTGTCCGTGTTGTGGGGAGACAAAGACGGTTGTTTCCACGGTGGGAGCACCCGGCGCATGCGCCTATTTATTTATTTCCGAAGACGTGTTAATTCCCTTTGAGCCATTGCCCCAACCTTTATGGGTGTCATTTCCTGGCTTTGTGCCTGCGTGTGGAGATCCTCTCGGAAAGACAAAGGCGGCCGTGTTGCTCGCTTCCCATGGGGTGTTGTGTTTGGTTAATTTTGAGAGCCTTCTCTGCCCTTGATTCCTCTTCTACTTTAATTCCGTACTTATTATTTGACTTCTTGTGATTATTTAATCTGATATCCCGGCTAGGGATCTTTGTTTTGGAGCGAAATAGATGCCATAATTATTCTTCGATGCTTCGGCCCGGCCGTGTAGAAATTCTTTAAAGGTAAATAATGTCAGTATTTAATTAACAATGATGAGTCGCGATTCTGGTGCAGACTGTAGTCTGATTTCCAATTGGAGTGAGGATGGATACTGTTTGCTTAATCTTCATGGCTAAGTTGGTAACTTTGTGCATCTAACATGGTTCAAATACCCGTATGTGCTTTTTGTCGTCAATGCTGTTTCTTTGTTAAGAATATAATTATCTCTTCCTCCGTGGTGCCTGGTTTTGTATTTATCAAAGGGTTTTTTTTTTAACAAAAGGATGTCCTCCTGACCCCCCCCCCGCTTGCAATTCCCCCCTCCCTTGTTCCTCTTGTGTGAAATTCGGGGAGTTTTATGACCTTGATTGCTCTCTTTCATGCCCTCTTTCCTTTGAAATGAGGTATGACCGCATCTGTGGAAGTGTGGGGGCGTGTTCGTTCCACGTTGCCCCGTGTCTATTAAAAAAAACGATTATATATGTTGGCAGAATAATTCTTAAAAAAATTAATATTACAAATATTAAAAAAGGGGGTACATACACAACAGCGGGAAGGCGTTTTCACAGTCATCTGCTCTTGTATCACACCACAGAACACACACAGGAGAAAAACCCTTCAGTTGCACTGTGTGTGGGAAGGCGTTTGCACATTCACAACATCTTAAAATACACCAGAGAACTCACACGGGAGAGAAACCCTTCAAGTGCACTGTGTGTGACAAGGCATTTTCACATTCATCAGATCTTAGGAACCACCAGAGAACACACACTGGAAATAAACCCTTCAAGTGCAGTGTGTGTGGGAAGGCATTTTCAGATTCATCTACTCTTAAACAACACCGGAGAACACACACAGGAGAAAAACCCTTCAAGTGCAGTCTGTGCGGGAAGGCGTTTTTACAGTCATCTGGTCTTGTATCACACCAGAGAACACACACGGGAGAAAAACCCTTCAAGTGCACTGTGTGTGACAAGGCATTTGCATGGTCATTAGGTCTTCATAGACACCAGAGAACACACACAGGAGAGAAACTCTTCAGGTGCAGTCTGTGCGGGAAGGCGTTTTCACAGTCATCTGGTCTTGTATCACACCGGAGAACACACACGGGAGAGAAACCCTTCAGTTGCACTCTGTGTGGGAAGGCGTTTGCACAGTCATCAAATCTTAAAAGACACCAGAGGACACACAATCATCAGAAGATCCCCAAGAAATGGAGTCTGAAATCGGCTTGTGAAAGTCAAAGTGCTGCAATGAGCCCATCCCTCATGAAACCAGAAGTGAATCCCAGCTTGGACACTTTTAAAGGTATCAAGGTGAAATGTGAAGAAATGATGAAGAGCGAAGAAGTAAAGGTGAAATGTGAGAAAGTGATGGTGAAAAGCGAAAAAGTGACGGTAAACTGTGAAGATGAAGATTCAACTCCAAAATCGTACCTTCACATCGATGGAGGCAACGTGAAGCAGGAGGAGAATTCAGACTTCGAGGCAGAGCTAGGCAACTCCCAGCAGTTTGTGGAAGTGGAGGTGTGGGTGGACTTCTTAGACAATACAAAGTCAAATGGAGACCCGGTAGATGGGTAGGCTTGAGATAATGAAGCTCCAATAGATGCACCTTTGTCACAGGCCTTTAATGAAAAGAACGTGAATTTGAACACTGAATTCCTGGGTTCAACCTGCAGAGTAAGAGCGGCGAGTATTTGTTGACCTGTGGTTGGGTAGATGAATAATCAGGAGCAAGACCCAATAAGCTTCCAAGTATTCCACTGTTATATTTATATTTGCATTGATATGGTGCTTGCTTAATTGCCTCAGCAACTCAGTTTCATATTTCATCACAAACACTCGAAGAGCACCTTCAAGTGGCAGCTGCCTCTGTGTCATAAGGTGACACTGCTGTCAACTGCATGTGGGCATGAGTCTGTCAGTAGGGGGTGATGATTGATGTGTAGTCTTCATTATGTAATTTCTGGATAATGTTTGAAATTGCCCAAATATTGACCATGACACCAACATGCAATGACCTATGCGTTTTGAATGACACAATCGTATGTTTTACATCCACTGTTAAGCAGACGGTGCATATTTTGTTTAATGTTACTGAAGTAGCCAGACGTGCCTGTCGGATTTGAACCTTGAACCTCTGCAATAAATAGAGAATGTGCTTCTTCTTGGATTCCCTCAATCTGAGTGTAGGCATGACAGCCTGAATGTTTCTAACTGGCGCAGATGTTCCATTTAGAGGGGTCCACGTTTCACATGCCTACAGAAGGGAGGGCAAAACTGGCCGAGAAGAACCGAAGCTTCATGCGGAGCGACAGACCAGGTAGCTTCCACAGCATAGCGCAGCCGATGTAAAGATAATGCCACCCGACTGATTCGGACCACCCACACACTGTACACACGCAGTGTACCGACAAGGTCTACACAAACCATGTACACAGCGTACACACAGTTTACCCACACAGTATACAGTCTGTACACGCACAGTGTATACACACACAGTAACAACCGTCATTCGCCACTAAGTGGCGGTGATGTCACCACGGCGCTTGTGCCAGGCTATGTGCACGGGGCAGATCCAGGTGTCATGGGTCGACTGACTTAAATGACTGGCCAATGCACCACCTGTGCCCCCGACTGCGCCAACAAACAGTGTCCACACACAATGTTCACGTTGTTGTTGAGCTCACGCACCCAATGGGTTTCTGTTCAAGAGAGGGAGCCACAGAAATGGAATCTAAATAAACTTGAACTCTAACCCTGGTCTCTCTCTCTGACGTCACCCCTCATTAACTCGGCGTAATATGCGAGGGGGAGGTGTCCCCCACTAGTGACGTCATGTCACCGAGGTAATTACCCCCCCACCGGGATTTTGTGCGTGACGTCACGTCTACCGATTTCCGTTCCAGTAAAATGCTTATTTGGGACCGGGACAGCAGCCAAGCACCATCACCTGACATGGGCCCCTCTCATTAACATAATTTATTCAGTTAACCTGCTGCTCGTTGGGGGAGGGGATTGTGTGAACCCCGCAAGTGACGTCATGTCACCTCATGCTGCCGCATGACGTCACGAGTTACCAGGTCGCTTCTGCTTCGCGCACGCTCGCTCACTGAGATCCGAGGTGAGAAGTTTACATCGTGGTGGTTGTTGTGGTGGTTGTTGTTGTAAGCCCAGGTAGAGCCTCGCTCCTTCTCCCTCGTAGGGATATCAATTGAGTAGCAGCGAGTATGGAATCGATGTCCAGGTTGGAACATTACAACGCGGGGCCTAGCCATGTGGGGCCTTGCCTCCTGCCCTCGCCTGATTGCATTTGCTTTAATTCTCTGCTTAAGTTTAATTTGTCTTCACCTGGCTCACTACTTTGAAACTTTGTTTTACTTTAAATATTTCTACGTTTTTTTTATTTTACCAGGCATAGGCCACTTGAGCTACACCGCTCGTTTTCAGAAGCGACCTGCCCACAACACAGTGGGCTTATCAACGTGTGGAAATCGTCTTGGTTCTTTCGGTAAAGTCACGTAGAAGGGAAGTAATAAAATAATAAAAATAAAACATAATAAAATAATTCTCACGACGTTTCGGCCACAACGCAAGCAGCCGTTCTCAGGTGAAAACCAGGTCTGTCGACACCTGGTTTTCACCTGAGGGACGGGTGCTTGCGTTGCGGCCGAAACGTCGTGAGAATTATTTTATTATGTTTTATTTTGATTAGTTTATTACTTCCCTTCTATGTGACTTTACCGAAAGAACCAAGAAGATGAATCCCTGCAGTCACGAAAGCTTTAAATCGAAATTTAACGTGTGGAAATGTTTATCGGTCAAATACTCTAAATGCGTAGTGATGTTGACTCTAAATGTGCAGGGAAAACCGCAGGATCCGGAGGAGAATCCACGCGACCACGGAGAGAGAGGAACACGCAAACTCCAAATATACAGGCATAAAACAGGTTTGTTTGTGTGAGATCGCGTAAATAAATAAATGCGTCGTTCACCCCGCCACCACCCGACACAGCCAATTAGTAAGGGGTTTGTCACGTAAACAGAACGTGGCCAATGCGTCACTAGTACAGCACTAGTGTGTAGTTTATAGTGTAGTGTATAGTAGTGTATAGTGTAGTGTACTAGTACAGCACATCGGTGTGTTGAAGAGCCAAGCCACAACATTTACAATCTGAGTACAACGTTTTGACACTAATTCCAACCAGCTTCATCAGACGACAGCCAAATGTTGTGGCTTGGCTCTGTGGGAATATAAATCGGCTCGCTGGGTTAATAGCGCAGCACGCTAACCGTTGCACTACCGCTCCCCACTCACGCACAAACTTTATCGGAAGTATAGTATCCAGTAATAACTAAGTTTCCCGGCTAAGCTCAGGTCTCGGTAATCAAACATTAAAAGTAATGTCTTGCCATGCTGGCTTTATTAGAATAATTTAATTCTGCCAAAGAAAGCTGTAAATGTGTATATTGTCACGGTTTTGTGGTTGTGTTATACAATAGCGGGGCTTGTTTGTTTCATGAGGACAGCTTTTAAATACGTTGCCCTTGGATAGCTTCAGGATAGACAATGTTGGATTTTTGCCATCTGGTGGTGTTGGCACAATTTGGTTCCCAAAAAAACGTTCATGTGCACAAAGTTTGCTTTATTTATATAGATTTTTCCCATATTTTGTCTTGTGTATGGTTTCTCAATGTTCATTTTAATTGTTTAGTTTTTTTATTTTCCTTTTACCTCATGCCATTATTTAGGTAAGGCTTAAGTATTGAATATCGCACTTTTGGCTTTGCGAGGCACTTTCCCAGATCGTAACCTCTATATTCAAGGGGCTGAGGAGTGCCGATTTTCAGCAGAAACTATATCTCTGCTTTATTGATGCAATTAAGGCATATAGTACCATATAGAGGCTTGGGGCTTTGGGTTCTTTGTTTTTTACGTCTCTGCCTCTGCTCACATTCTTTGATGATTTTTATGATTTTGGGAAAGCCCGTCTAAAGCTGCGTGACCAGGAGTCGGAGTCATTTCCTGTTCAACTTGGCTTGTGACAAAAATTCACTCTGGCCACATGCATTACATTACAGAGCATCTTAAATAATTATGTCGTTTGAGAAGCTCTCAATGGCCATAGAAATAAATAGCATTTGTTACGGTTAAAATGATACGCGCATCGATGCCTGGTTATAGTTAAGGGATCGTTCCCTGGTCAACCATGTTATATCTGCTGATGATCTGGAAATGGCTACTCAATGAGATCGGGTTAGATAATCTCGTTCTGTGCCCGGATAATTCCATCATGAAAGGTGGCCTTGCGTATGTTCCACCAAAATAAATCACCTGCCTGGGAATTTCATGTCATACAACAACTGTACCTGCTCAACTTTCCATGAGTAATCAGGCAGTTCTGCAAGTAATGGAGGAGCTCCCATACCTGGTTAATGTGTTCACGACCAGCTCTGGTTTGGCAGCCAAAGTCTCACTTTAAATTTGTCTAGCAGCATTCTTTCATTAGACTGTGTAACACTGTGTGGAAGCTGCCTGGACTTTTGCGCCATACAAAGCTGTGAGTGTCCATCACCAAGGTCTAGTCTGTCTGAGACCATCCCTCTCCCTGCCATACTGGCATCGCACCCGCCTCTCACTCTTCGTACTGTGGATGGTGGGCGCACAGGACGGTGCCACGCAGCCATTCCAGGCTGGGTCCAAATGGGTTACGTGGGTCACCGAGCCACCAGGCCTCATTCCACGAGTGATATCAATATACAATATCTGTAACGAGGCCCCCCAATAGACTGCCCCTGGAACTCTATCGGGCACGTCCCACTGAGGGAAGTCCCCGGGGCCCGGGCCTGGACTTGCTGGTGGGAATATGCCGCTTGGCTGATTTGGGAATGCCTGGGAATTCCCCAGGAAGATCCAGAGTCTGTCGCCAGGGAAAGGGAAGTCTGGACTGCCCTACTAAATCTGCTGCCGCTACAACCCTCACCAAGACAAGAGGATTTAGAAATAAACGAACAAACAAAGCTGCGAGTCTTCTTGGCCACAGATATTACTCCTTTCTCTGTAGATGCAAAATATTAACTTATTTAAAGGACCGTCTGTTCTGGCTTATAATTAAGACTGGCCAGCCTATGATCCCCTCTATTGAACCAAACAAGATTGTATTATAACCTTACAGAGCCCTAAAATATCAGTACAGAATATAATCTGAGACTTTGGCAGGGGAGGCTGCATTGGTTGGGTCATGAATTCCGCATAAACAGACAGCATGCACAATCATCTTCTGTTAGTCCAGATGTTACGGGCTAAACGGGCATGGCATTGGCTAGAGAAGAGATTGGAGGATGTGGAGTTGATCAGACCTGCTGTCAAGATCGGCCTCTCGAAGAGGCCCATGACGTATGCTGCAGGGGAGTTGGAGGTATTTGCTCTGCAACAACAATGAGGTTGGAGTAGCAACGATCACATGAATGGGTGGAACGCTGGGTGCCTCAAATGCAGCAAGACAGCAGGAAGCACAGCTGGTGCGTCTGTTAATCATCTCAGTCAGTCATCCCTTGACACCTGGATCATTCTCATGACATGCTGACAAGTGATCCACACTTACATGGCATTCATGTGAAATATATGTGTATGTAAGAGTTTATCTATGTGGGGAGCGGTGGCGCAGTTTTTCCACTGTGTAACAAAAAAAATGTCTTGTTCCTGTATGTGTTATTTCCTAATTGCTTTTGCCTCTTAAGTACAAAAAATGGCTATTCCCCACAAACTTTGCTTTTGTGACCAGGACAGTGATATTTAGAAATGTACCTCTTTTCAATGAAAAAACAGGTGAATTTGTTATTTTCGTTCATGTACAATTCTGGTCACAAAAGCAAAATTTGTGGGGAATAATAGCCAATTTCTAGACTCTTAGGCATAAGCAATAAAAAAAATAACACTTAGTACCCAGGAACAAAAATTGTGTTACATAGTGTTATCACAATTAAAGTTTGATTATCTCTGACAACAAACGTGATTGATTCATGAAAACTTAACTTATTGTGGGGAAGCATTAATAATGAGCATATGAAGGTGGCCAGGCATGATTCTGAACACACCACCACCTTTTTTCCATGCCAGTGTGTGTTACAGTGTCAAGTTTGTATTTGCAGTAAAGTATATTAACTCGATTGAACACGGAGGTTAAATCAAAACAATAGTATATACTTTTTTTCCTCTGGAAATTTTTAGGAGAATGGAAACAGGAAATTAACACTGCACATATGCAGCTGAAGTTAGATCTGTTCATCCCAGCATTCAAGGAAATCTGAGCCTGGCTTCATGCCTCTAAGTTAGCGATTGAACATTAATTTATGCATTTCTGTATAATAAAAATAGTATTATTTTCAACACCATTTTCTATGTTAGCTGCATTTTTCTTTTATAAATATTCTTTTTGTAGCCAGAAAACTGAAATTGTGTGCTTGGAGTTTTAGGTTAACATTCATTTTGAAGATACTAGGGCTTCCAGGTTGACCATTGGCCCTCTGATTGTGTGCCCGTGTGATGAATTTGGGAATTTTTTCATATTATCATGAATATATGAATGAGTATAGACATGCAAGTCATGTGTGACTGTATATATGCATTCCTTTGTGCCTCAATACTGACGTAGATATTGTGGATATTCTCTTTTTTCTGTCTGCAGCTGACGCTTCCTCTGCAGAATTGGTTTGATGGAGCAAAGGCACTCAGCGCAGCTCGGTACAAAAAGGCAACAACGCGACCAGCGTGCATACAGCACGGATCGTGTTGGACATTTAACACAGCACCAGAGAACTCACACAGGAGAGAAACCCTTCAAGTGCACTGTGTGTGACAAGGCATTTTCATATCCATCATTTCTAAGGAACCACCAGAGAACACACACTGGAGAGAAACCCTTCAAGTGCACTGTGTGTGGGAAGGCGTTTGCACATTCACAACATCTTCAATTACACCAGAGAACACACACGGGAGAGAAACCCTTCAAGTGCTTTTTGTGTGACAAGGCATTTGCACAGTCATCAGGTCTTCATAGACACCAGAGAACTCACACGGGAGAGAAACCCTTCAGTTGCACTTTGTGTGGGAAGGCGTTTGCCCAATCATCACATCTTCAAGTACACCAGAGAACACACACGGGAGAGAAACCCTTCAGTTGCACTCTGTGTGGGAAGGCGTTTGCACAGTCATCAATTTTTAAACATCACCAGAAGACACACAAGCATCAGAATATCCCCAAGAAATGGAGTCTGAAATCGGCTTGTGAAAGTCAAAGTGCTGCAATGAGCCCATCCCTCATGAAACCAGAAGTGAATCCCAGCTTGGACACTTTTAAAGGTATCAAGGTGAAATGTGAAGAGGCGAAGGTGAAAAGTGAAGAAGTGATGAAGAGCGAAGAAGTGAAGGTGAAATGTGAAGTGATGGTGAAGAGCGAAAAAGTGACGGTAAACTGTGAAGATGAAGATTCAACTCCAAAATCGTACCTTCACATCGATGGAGTCAACGTGAAGCAGGAGAATTCTGACTTTGAGGCAGAGCTAGGCAACTCCCAGCAGTTTGTGGAAGTGGAGGTGTGGGTGGACTTCTTAGACAATACAAATTAAAATGGAGACCCGGTAGATGTGTAAGCTTAATAAAGCTCCAATAGATTCACCTTTGTCATTGGCCTTTAATGAAAAGAACGTGAATTCGACCACTCAAATTCCTGGGTTCAACCTGCAGAGTAAGAGCGGCGAGTATTTGTGGACCTGTGGGTTGGGTAGATGAATAATCAGGAGCAAGAGCCAATAAGCTTCCAAGTATTCCACTGTTATATTTATATTTGCATTGATTTGGTGCTTGCTTAATTGCCTCAGCAACTCAGTTTCATATCTCATCACAAACGTTCGAAGAGCACCTTCAAGTGGCAGCTGCCTCTGTGTCATAAGGTGACACTGCTGTCACCTGTGTAGAGGTGTTACATAGGGGGTGTTATAGAGTTGATACGGATGGGAAACAAACACACTGGGCGTGGCTATGTCTGTACGCGAGCAGGTGCTTATATTGACGTCCGCGCCGTTTAGCCTGGGAGGCTAATACGGCGCTGGGATCCCCCACGGCCCCACCCCTCAGGGGGGAATTGCTATATAAGGCGGTTAGCCAGAGGGCTCGGGGTTGAGTGTTCAGCTTTAACCAGAGACGCAAGAAGACCTGCTAGATAAGCCCTGGGACTCCCTTGGATCGCTGTCCTTCTCAGGACCGACCAAGGCCAGCCAGTGGCGTGGCCCCAAGAGCCCAGAGCCGATGCTCTTGTAAGAGCCGGTCTGGGAACTCAGGGTGCCGTAATCCCAGCTTAACCAGGGCTGGGTTAGCTAGCCTCCCCTAGCCCGATAGTGGAGGACCTAGGAATAGGCTAGCTGTAACATAGGTTGTCGATCTCCCAGTTAGACGGGTGGAGGGGCCGATACCTCTCCGAGTGTTGTATATCTCGGCCTGTAGATACAACTGTGTTGAATAAATAAGTGTGCCTCCGACTACGTCGTCCAAGCCTCCTTGAACCACATTACACCTGCATGTGGGCATGAGTCTGTCAATAGGGGGTGATGATTGATGTGTAATCTTCATTATGTAATTTCTGGATCATGTTTGAAATTGCCCAAATATTGACCATGACACCAACATGCAATGACCTATGCGTTTTGAATGACACAATCGTATGTTTTACGTCCACTGTTAAGCAGACGGTGCATATTTTGTTTAATGTTACTGGAGTAGCCAGACGTGCCTGTCGGATTTGAACCTTGAACCTCTGCAATAAATAGAGAATGTGCTACCACATTGCTTCCCTCAATCTGAGTGTAGGCATGACAGCCTGAATGTTTCTAACTGGCGCAGATGTTCCATTTAGAGGGGTCCACGTTTCACATGCCTACAGAAGGGAGGGCAAAACTGGCCGAGAAGAACCGAAGCTTCATGCGGAGCGGCAGACCAAGTAGCTTCCACACAGCATAGCGCAGCCGATGAAAAGATATTGCCGCCCGACTGATTCGGACCACCCACACACAGTGTACCCATGCAGTGTACCCACAAGGTCTACACACGCCATGTACACAGCATACACACAGTTTACCCACACAGTATACAAACAGTCTGTACACGCACAGTGTATACACACAGTAACAACCGCCATTCGCCACTAAGTGGCGGTGACGTTACCACGGCGCTTATGCCAGGCTATGTGCACGGGGCAGATCCAGGTGTCATGGGTCGACTGACAGATGACTGGCCAATGCTCCACCTGTGCCCGCGACTGCGCCAACAGACAGTGTACACACAATGTTAACGCACACAATAATGTTCACGTTGTTGTTGTTGAGCTCACGCACCCAAGGGGTCTCTGTTCAAGAGAGGGAGCCATCGAAATGGAATCTAAATAAACTTAAACTCTAACCCTGATTTCGCTCTGACGTCACCACTCATTAACTCGGCGTGATGCGCGAGGGGGAGTTGGCCCCCACTAGTGACGTCATGTCACCGAGGTATATACCCCCCCAAATCCCCCTCCACCGGGATTTTGGGCGTGACGTCACGTCTGCCTATTTCCGTTCCAGTAAAGTGCTTATTTGGGACGGGGTCAGCAGCCAAGCACCATCATCTGACATGGGCCCCTCTCATTAACATAATATATTCAGTTTCCCTGCTGCTCGTTGGGGGAGAGATTGTGTGAACCTCGCAAGTGACGTCATGTCACCTCCTGCTGCCGCATGACGTCACGAGTTACCAGGTAGCTGCTGCTCCGCGCACGCTCGCTCACTGAGATCGGAGGTGAGAAGTTTACATCGTGGTGGTCGTTGTCGTGGTGGTTGTTGTGGTGATTGTTGTTGTGAACCCAGGTAGAGCCTCGCTCCTTCTCCCTCGTAGGGATATCAATTGAGTAGCAGCGAGTATGGAATGGATGTCCAGATTGGAACATTACAACGCGGGGACTTGCCTCCTGCCCTCGCCTGATTGCATTTGCTTTAATTCTCTGCTTAAGTTTAATTTGTCTTCACCTGGCTCACTACTTTGAAACTTTGTTTTACTTTAAATATTTCTACGTTTTTTTTATTTTACCAGGCATAGCCCACTTGAGCTACACCGCTCGTTTTCAGAAGCGACCTGCCCACAACGCAGTGGGCTTATCAACGTGTGGAAATGTTTATCGGTCAAATACTCTAAACGCGTGGTGATGTTGACTCTAAATGTGCAGGGAAAACCGCAGGATCCGGAGGAGAATCCACGCGACCACGGAGAGAGAGGGACACGCAAACTCCAAATATACAGCCATAATACAGGTTTGTTTGGGATTGATCGCGTAAATAAATCGGTGTCGTTAACCCCGCCACCACCCGACACAGCCATTTAGTAAGAGGTTTGTCACGTAAACAGAACGTGGCCAATGCGTCACTAGTACAGCACTTGTAGTGCATAGTAGTGTATAGTGTAGTGTATAGTGTAGTGTATAGTGTAGTGTATAATGCAGTGTATAGTTGTGTATAGTGTAGTGTATAGTTGTGTATAGTGTAGTGTATAATGTAGTGTATAGTTGTGTATAGTGTAGTATATAATGTAGTGTATAGTGTAGTGTACTAGTACAGCACATCGGTGTGTTGAAGAGCCAAGCCACAACATTTACAATCTGAGTACAACGTTTTGACACTAATTCCAACCAGCTTCATCAGACGACAGCCACATGTTGTTGCTTGGCTCTGTGGGAATAGAAATCGGCTCGCTGGGTTCATAGCGCAGCACGCTAACCGTTGCACTACCGCTCCCCGCTCACGCACAAACTTCATCGGATGTATAGTATTTATCCAGAAATAACTAAGTTTCCCGGCTTAGCTCAGGTCTCAGTAATCAAACATTAAGAGTAATGTCTCTGCTTTTTTATGTAATTAAGGTCTATCGTACCATATCGAGGCTTGGGGCTTTGGGTTGTTATTTGTTTTTTATGTCTGCCTCTGCTCACATTCATTGACGATTTTTATGATTTTGGGCAAGCCCGTCTAAAGCTGCGTGACCAGGAGTTGGAGCCATTTGCTGTTCAATTTGGCTTGTGACAGAAATTCACTCTGCCCCCATGCATTACATTACATAGCAGCTTCATTAATTATGTAGTTTGAGAAGCTTACAATAGCCATATAAATAATTGCATTCGTTACAGTTAAAATGATACGCGCATCGATGCCTGGTTATAGTTAAGGGATCGTTCCCTAGTCAACCATGTTATATCTGCTGATGATCTGGAAATGGCTACTCAATGAGATCGGGTTAGATAATCTCGTTCTGTGCCTGGATAATTCCATCATGAAAGGTGGCCTTGCGTATGTTCCACCAAAATAAATCACCTGCCTGGGAATTTCATGTCATACAACACTGTACCTGCTCAACTCTCCATGAGTAATCAGGCAGTTCTACAAGTAATGGAGGAGCTCCCATACCTGGTTAATGTGTTCACGACCAGCGCTGGTTTGGCAGCCAAAGTCTCACTTTAAATTTGTCTAGCAGCATTCTTTCATTAGGCTGTGTAACACTGTGTGAAAGCTGCCTGGACTTTTGCTCCATACAAAGCTGTGAGTGTCCATCACCAAGGTCTAGTCTGTCTGAGATCATCCCCTCTCCCTGTCATATTGGCATCGCACCCGCCTCTCACCCTTCGTCCTGTGGATGGTGGGCACACAGGACGGTGCCACGGAGCCATTCCAGGTTGAGCCCAAATGGGTTACGTGGGTCACCTAGCCACCAGGCCTCATTCCACGAGTGATATAAATATATAATATCTGTAAGGAGGCCCCCCAATAGACTGTCCCTGGAACTCTACCAGGCACGTCCCACTGGGGGACTTCCTAGGGGCCTGGCCCAGGACATTCTGGTGGGAATACGTCGCTTGGCTGGCTTTGGGAACGCCTGGGAATTCCCCAGGAAGAGCTCGTCTGTCGCCAGGGAAAGGGAGGTCTGGACTGCCCTACTGAATGTGCTGCCACCACAAACCTCACCAAGACAAGAGGATTTAGAAATAAATGAATAAAGCTGTGAGTCTTCTTGGCCACAGATATTACTCCTTTGTAGATGCAAAATATGAACTTATTTTAAGGACTGTACTGGCTTTTTATTAAGGCTGGCCTCCCTATGATCCCCTCTATTGAACCAAACAAGATTGTATTATAACCTTACAGAGCCCTAAAATGTCAGTACAGAATATAATCTGAGACTTTGGCAGGCGAGGCTGCATTGGTTGGGTCATGAATTCCGCATTAACAGACAGCATGCACAATCATCTTCTGTTAGTCCAGATGTTATGGGCTAAACGGGCATGGCTTTGGCTAGAGAAGAGATTGGAGGATGTGGAGTTGATCAGACCTGCCTCTGGAAGAGGCCCGTGATGTATGCTGCAGGGCAGTTGGAGGTATTTGCTCTGCAACAACAATGAGGTAGGTGTAGCAACGCTCACATGAATGGGTGGAGCGCTGGGTGCCTGAAATGCAGCAAGACAGCAGGAAGCACAGCTGGTGCATCTGTTAATCATGTCAGTCATCCCTTGACACCTGGATCATTCCCATGACCTGCTGACAAGTGATCCACACTTACATGGGGCATTCATGAGACATATATGTGTATGTAAGAGTTTATCTATGTGGGGAGCGGTGGCGCAGTTATTCCACTGTGTAAAAAAAAAAAAAAAAATTGTTCCTGAGTAGTATGTGTTATTTCCTAATTTCTTTTGCCTCTAAAGTACAAAAATTGGCTATTCTCCACAAACTTTGCTTTTGTGACCAGGACAGTGATATTTAGAAATGTACCTCTTTTCAATGAGAAAACAGGTCAATTTGTTATTTTCGTTAACGTAAAATGATGGTCACAAAAGCAAAGTTTGTGGGGAATAATAGCCATTTTCTAGACTCTTAGAAATAAGAAATAAAAAAAATAACACTAAGTACCCAGGAACAAAATTTGTGTTACATAGTGTTATCACAATTAAAGTTTGATTATCGCCGACAACAAACGTGATTGATTCGTGAAAACTTAACTCATTGTGGGGAAGCATTAATACGTAGCATATGAAGGTGGCCAGGCATGGTTCTGAACACACCACCTTTTTACCATGCCAGTGTGTATTACAGTGTCAAGTTTGTATTTACAGTAAAGTATATTAACTCGATTGAACACGGAGGTTAAATCAAAACAATAGTTTATTTTTGTTTTTCTCTGGAACTTTTTATGAGAATGGAAACAGGAAATTAACACTGCACATATGCAGCTGAAGTTAGATCTGTTCATCCCAGCATTCAAGGAAATCTGAGCCCGGCTTCACACCTTTAAGTCGTGATTGAACATTAATTTATGCATTTCTGCATAATTCAAATAGTATTATTTTCAACACACTTTGCTATGTTAGCTGAATTTTGCTTTCATAAATATTCCTTTTGTAGCCAGACAACCGAAATTGTGTACTGGGAGTTTTAGGTTAACATTCATTTTGAAGATACTAGGGCTTCCATTTGCCCTCTCATTTTGTACCCGTGTGATGAATGTGGGAATCTTTTTCACTCTATCATGAATATATGAGTGAGTATAGACGTGCAAGTCATGTGTGACTGTGTATATATGCATTCCTTTGTGCCTCGATACTGACGTAGATGGTCTGGATATTGTTTTTTTCTGTCTGCTGCTGACGCTTCCTCTGACACTTCCTCTGCAGAATTGGTCTGATGTAGCAAAGGCACTCAGCACAGCTCGGTACAAAAAGGCAACAATGCAACCAGTGTGCATACAGCACGGATCATGTTAAATATCTGATACAGCACCAGAGAACTCACACAGGAGAGAAACCCTTCAAGTGCAGTCTGTGCGGGAAGGCGTTTTCACAGTCATCTGGTCTTGTATCACACCAGAGAACACACACGGGAGATAAACCCTTCAAGTGCAGTGTGTGTGGGAAGGCATTTTCACCTAAATCTACTCTTAAAAAACACCGGATAACACACACAGGAGAAAAACCCTTCAGTTGCACTCTGTGTGAGAAGGCATTTGCACATTCACAACATCTTAAAATACACCAGAGAACTCACACGGGAGAGAAACCCTTCAGTTGCACTTTGTGTGGGAAGGCGTTTGCACAATCATCACATCTTCAAGCACATCAGAGAACACACACGGGAGAGAAACCCTTCAGTTGCACTCTGTGTGGGAAGGCGTTTGCACAGTCATCAATTCTTAAACATCACCAGAAGACACACAAGCATCAGAAGATCCCCAAGAAATGGAGTCTGAAATCGGCTTGTGAAAGTCAAAGTGCTGCAATGAGCCCATCCCTCATGAAACCAGAAGTGAATCCCAGCTTGGACACTTTTAAAGGTATCAAGGTGAAATGTGAAGAGGCGAATGTGAAATGTGAAGAAGTGATGAAGAGCGAAGAAGTGAAGGTGAAATGTGAAGTGATGGTGAAGAGCGAAAAAGTGACGGTAAACTGTGAAGATGAAGATTCAACTCCAAAATCGTACCTTCACATCGATGGAGGCAACGTGAAGCAGGAGGAGAATTCTGACTTTGAGGCAGAGCGAGGCAACTCCCAGCAGTTTGTGGAAGTGGAGGTGTGGGTGGACTTCTTAGACAATTCAAATTAAAATGGAGACCCGGTAGATGTGTAAGCTTAATAACGCTCCAATAGATTCACCTTTGTCATTGGCCTTTAATGAAAAGAACGTGAATTCGACCACTCAAATTCCTGGGTTCAACCTGCAGAGTAAGAGCGGCGAGTATTTGTGGACCTGTGGGTTGGGTAGATGAATAATCAGGAGCAAGAGCCAATAAGCTTCCAAGTATTCCACTGTTATATTTATATTTGCATTGATATGGTGCTTGCTTAATTGCCTCAGCAACTCAGTTTTCTATCTCATCACAAACGTTCGAAGAGCACCTTCAAGTGGCGGCTGCCTTTGTGTCATAAGGTGACACTGCTGTCACCTGCATGTGGGCATGAGTCTGTCAGTAGGGGGTGATGATTGATGTCTAATCTTCATTATGTAATTTCTGGATCATGTTTGAAATTGCCCAAATATTGACCATGACACCAACATGCAATGACCTATGCGTTTTGAATGACACAATCAAATGTTTTACATCCACTGTTAAGCAGACGGTGCATATTTTGTTTAATGTTACTGGAGTAGCCAGACGTGCCTGTCGGATTTGAACCTTGAACCTCTGCAATAAATAGAGAATGTGCTACCACTTGGCTTCCATCAATCTGAGTGTAGGCATGACAGCCTGAATGTTTCTAACTGGCGCAGATGTTCCATTTAGAGGGGTCCACGTTTCACATGTCTACAGAAGGCAGGGCAAAACTGGCCGAGAAGAACCAAAGCTTCATGCGGAGCGACAAACCAGGTAGCTTCCACACAGCATAGCGCAGCCGATGAAAAGATGTTGCCGCCCGACTGATTCGGACCACCCACACACTGTACACACGCAGTGTACCCACAAGGTCTACACACACCATGTACACAGCGTACACAGTTTACCCACACAGTATACAAATAGTCTGTACACGCACAGTGTATATGTAGTGGGTTCCAGGGAGACTGACGACGGAGTCGAGGCACACTCTTTTATTAACCTCAAGGGCAGTACAATACTTGAAGGGGTAACGGCCCCTTCACCCGTACTAAATGGAAAAATACCCCTAGCACTATTCCCCCTGTCCTGTTCCCAGTCCTCTAATAGTGCTATGGGAGGCTGTCTGATCCGGCCCTGGTAAAGCACATCCCGGCACCCAGCTAACCCGGCCTTGCTCTTACAAGAGCAGAGGTCCGGAAGCTCTTGGGGCCGCGCCACTGGCTTGCCCAGCTCAGCCCTGACAAGGGCAGCGAGACAGGGGAGTCCCAGGGCCTATTCTGCCGGTCTTCAGACTTCACTGCTTCTTCCACACTGGCCCCGAGCTTTCTGGCTCCCCGCCTTTTATAGGAATTCCCTCCGAGGGGCGGAGTTATGGGGGATCACAGAGCCCCCATGGCCCCCCAGTGGTTAACGGATGCGGACGTGGATGTAGACACCCGTGTGTGGGTGCAGACACCCTGTGTTTTCTGTCCGCCCTTCTCCCCGTAATAACCCCTACATCACCCCCCCTATACAGCCCGCAGCCGTCCCGGCTGCAACAAAACCCCTCAAAAACCAACAATAAAGACTTAACACAGTCAACATGCGTGTGCCCCATAACAATAACAAGAGTAACAAACAACCGACGGTCCCCTATAAATACCCCAGCCCCAACATGCAACATATGTACAGAGTGTGATTCACTCCCCCCAAAAAAGAACGGTGAGCGAGCCCCACGGCAGCGGAACACGCGCGGGAAGCAATTCATAACAACCAGCGCGTTTTGGCGCGTGTCCGTGCAGCGGGCCCGTCACAAGGGCCCGACCCGGTCGGGCCGGCGGCGGGTGTTGACAGTTCAGGCGCACGGCCCTCCGGCTTCCCGGACGAGTCTGCGCCGACCCCCTCGGGAGAGGCTGGCGGCCGAGAGGGCGTTAATCCTTGGACCCCTGAAGGCGGAACAGCTAGCAGCGGATCAGAGGCTGGTGGTGAACCCACCCTCCAGGAGTCAGTGGACCCCCCACATGTTCGGCCATAGTTGTGAGAGGAAGCATGTGGCGCAAAGAACGGCTTCAACCGTGAAGGGTGGACGAACCACCGACGCTTCCCCCATTTAATGCGAACACATTGGGGTCGCACAACCTGCACAATTTCCATGGGGCCTCTCCATGGTCGCAACAGTTTAGACGAGGTAGCCAATGGCACCTGGGGACAGTGTAGCCACGCTCTGTTGCCCGGGTGCCATTCGTCCGTGTGTGACCGGCGCAATCGCAACCTTTCATTCGCCTTCTGGCGAGAGTCAGAGTTTTGAATAGCCGCCTCCCGCACCTCAGCCAACTTGAGGATATTAAATTTAACATTGTCAGCCAACTTGGACTTAGCGTGTGGAGTGGAAATTCTCAGCTGGGCCGCGACAGGCGGGTCAACTTCGCGGCCATACATAAAAAAAATGGCGAGAATCCGGTCGCTGTGTGAGGAGCCATCCTGTAAGCTGCCAGAACTCCTGGGATCTGAAGGTCCCAATCAGTTTGGGACTCAGATACCTGGTGTGATAGCATGGACGTAATAGTCCTATGCAGGCGTTCTACCATCCCATCCGTTTGTGGGTGGTAAGGGGAAGTACGAATTTTCTTCGTACCGAGAAGCTCACACACCTCGTGTAAAAGGGAACTAGTGAAGTTCTTTCCCTGATCGGTCAACAACCGTTCCGGAGCGCCCTTGTCGAGGACATAGCCCTGGACAAAAGCCTCCGCAACGGCTGCTGCCGACTGGTTGGCGAGGGGCCAAGCCATAGGCCATCGCGTGAAATATTCCACGCCAACCAGTAGGTACTTATTACCCCTAGGCGTGGAGGGAAACGGCCCCCAAATATCAAGAGCGACCAGCTCATTAACCCGGGAGACCGAAATAGACTGGAACGGTGGGCTGGCTCCCCTTGCTGGCGGCTTCCGTTGAGCACACTGGGTACAAGACTGCAAGAGATCGTCCACATCCCTTGCCATGCCCGGCCAAAAGAAATTAAGCTGGAGCATGGCAAGGGTTTTGTGGGTGCCCAGGTGCAGGGGCCGCTCATGAGCAGCCCATACAGCCCTACACCTCAACGTGGAAAGCACTACCAGCCTGTGGCGGCGGATCGTCCCGTTTCAATGCATGAGGAGGCCCTGGCACAACCTCCATGAGTCAACGCCCGACTTTTCCTGACCGGATCCTTCCGCACGACGCCGTAGCACCAGGAGGGAAGTATCCTCCAATTGGAGGCGCCCCCACTCCGCACCTGACAAGCCCAGTAGGGAATCCTTCCCTCCCATATCAATAGGGCCAACGCCCGAAGGAGCCTCAACGGCGGCCGCAAGGACCCGATCCTGGCCGTCGCTCGCCGATTTGCAACGCCCCGAGCCCAAGAAACAAGTGCAATCTGAAGTGGCCGGCAGGCGCGACAGGGCATCGGCATTAGTGTGGCGAATCCCCTTGCGATATGTTGTTTCGAAATCGAAATCCTGAATGATCTCCAGCCATCGGGACAACTGCCCCGACAACTGCCCCGATGGCTGGTGAATACGCAGGGCATACTGCAATGCCGCATGATCTGTACGGACGGTGAAATGCCGGCCGTACAGATATGGCCGGTACTGTTGAATAAAGAAAACAATAGCCAACAGTTCACGGCGGGTGACGCAGTATCTTTGCTCGGCAGGAGACAATACTCTACTACCGTAAGACACAACGTGCTCCACGCCACCAACAACTTGGGAAAGCACGCCCCCAATCCCTGTGTTGCTCGCGTCAGTGTCGAGCACGAAAGGTAGTGAAAAATCGGGGTAACTCAACGGCGGGGCCCCCACCAAGGCATCACGAAGAGAGTTAAATGCGGCCTCCTCTTCCGGCCCCCAATGAAACTTCACCCCCTTCGCCGTTAAGGCATGTAACGGCTTAGCGATGGAAGCGAACTCCGCGACAAACCGCCGGTAATATGAAGCAAAACCGATGAAGCTCCTAACCTCCCCCACCGAGGTGGGAGTCGGCCAGGAGCTGACACAACGCGTTTTGGCGGGATCGGTTGAGATACCTGACCGTCCGACGATGTGACCCAAATATCTCACAGATTCGTGGAGCAAATGGCACTTTTGCGGTTTAAATTTCAAATTAGCTGTGCGCATTTTGAGAAAGACGGCCCGAAGCCTATCAAGATGTTCCTCCAATGTCCTACTAAATACGATCACGTCGTCCAGGTAAATCAAACAGACCTCCCATTGCAAGCCAGCGAGAACCAATTCCATTAGGCGCTGGAACGTTGCGGGAGCTGAGTGGAGCCCCATAGGCAAACGATTGAATTGGAAGAGGCTGTGCGGCGTTCGAAAAGCCGTTTTGGGCTTCGATTCGTCATCCAAAGGAAGTTTCCAAAACCCTGACAGCAAATCCAAGGTGGAGAAGAATCGTGATCCAGCCAGGGCATCCAGAGATTCGTCCATTCGAGGAAGCGGGTAAGCATCGGCCACAGAGATTTTATTCAAACGCCGAAAATCAACGCAGAACCTTAGGGACCCATCCTGCTTTTTAACCAACACTATGGGTGCACCCCAAGGGCTGGTTGAGGGAGAAATA